TGTCAGACTATACAGAGAAGCCATTGAAATCCACAAGCATGTGGACAATTTCAACAGAAAGGAGGAAACCATGAAAATGAACAAAATCTGGCTACCAGTATTAAAAAAAAAACCTCTAAAATTACAACAGCAAAACAACAGAGGGAAAACAATCAGGCACATCTAATCACCTCTCAACAAAAGATTGCCCCAGGCACTGCCAAGCCATCAAATGCTAATCAAGGTGGTCAGTTGAAACATTGACACCTAGCTCCAGCAGACAAGAGTTCTTTGCCCCACCCTAGTCATTCCACAGATATATAAACCCACTTTCCTAGTTCCAATAGACCTCACTACTTCTGAGGATGCTTGCCATAGATGCAGGCGAAATGTCAGGAGAAAATGCCTCTAGAATATGGCCATATAGCCTGAAAAAACCTACAACAACCCATTGTACAAGCAGTTTAGGAGAATCCATACATAATCATGGAAATGCATCGGGTAGTCTTGAAGAAGTCATACTCTCACAGCTTTTAAGGCGTAGCACTAGCAACCTCTTCTGAACAAATATTACAAGGAAAACCTCATGAAGGGGTCTTCATATGCTGAAGTTAACTTAAAGACACATAACAACAATAAACCCATGACTGTTATTTAATGAACAATAAACACACCACATGGTCTCAGTTTTGATCACTGCCCTTGCAGCTGCTCTTGATAAGGTAGAATACAAGCTCACACAGTTGACATCCAGTCTAATTTGGCCATCATTGTAGACAGAAAGTTAATGTTTGAAAGACATGTAAAAAAATACTCCCCAACTCTTTTACCCATGCATCCAAGTTTATCAAAAAGCTTTTTGAATGGCAGCTTATAATCATAAAGAGGGCTAGGGGACTACTAACACCTGGCTGAGACCTGACCAGGCATAAGGTAATTCATGGTTTGTATCCAGCTTCAATCAAACGCCTGTAATCCTTGACTCTGAAAACATTTATTTAGTAGACTGAATGGGATATTCACAGGTGTCAAATTATACCTCTGTCTCCTATGGGGGGTTGGTAATGCATGAAACATTAAAGCCATGAGACATTAGGCATTATAATTTGGCTCCACATGCCTGCATTCTATGCTTACCTGTCATTGCTGGGCACCATCTGTGCAAGATTGCAATCCACTGCCTCCTGTTGCAGAAAATCTCAGTCTGCCTCCCAGAAATACCATGGGTTAAGCCAGCCTGTTGTCTATTTTGCCGGTTTTCTCCCAACCAAACTATCACAAGATGAATTTACAAATGCAGCAGTGGGGGAGTTATTTCACATGCATTCAATAGTGTGTCTTTATGCCAACAATTATTTCAGCAATGGCTATATCTATAATATAGGGACAGGCAACTTGTGGATGTTAGATCTTGTTGGATTGCAACTATCACCATTCCTAACCTGCACAACCAGTGATGAGTTCTGTAGTTCAGTGATACCCACAGGGTTAAATGTTGTAGCAGAAGCTTAGGAAGGGCTTTTTAATCCTCCCCACTCCAGTGTTTGTTTTTCAGATGTAAAATACCCGCTCTACTGAGCTGTCTTTTCTCTGGTGTAGAAAGGTTATGGCTGAATTGCTAATCCTAGTAATCCCTTTGTTGCATTTCGAAGTTTGCCCTAACTCATCCTTTCTCATGTCCATAAAGTTCTGCCTGCTGCTTTAATAGATGGATGCAGCACATTTTGCAACCACTTCAGGTGTCACAACCTGTGAATTCTGATCTGATGTGTACAGAATAAGATAAAAGTATTATTCACAAAAAAGCAAGTCCAACTGTGATAAGATTTGTACCAGGAAGCCAGAAGAGGGGTGCACAAACACAGCCAATTTCACAGAACTTGGGGAAAATTCCTTTTTTTAAATTAGAGCTCTCAGAATGCTGAAGAGATTCCGAGAGCTGTAATCCAGAAAATCATTCTTCCAAGTTGTGGAGTTTCACATTTCAGCAGTATTAGTACTCCACGACTTACCATGGAGCATTGTCCTGAGGTCATAAGAAGGAGGAGCAACAGGCACTATGACAATTCATGGTGCAACTGACTGGATTCTCTATTGCAGAAATCAGTTTATGTGGGTTTCAAGAATGAGAGGAAAATACCAGCCAATGGAAGATGTGACCATTTGCTGGTGGGGAGGATAAACCTGGTCATAGATCTTCCTCTGATCAGGGAGGGGGTATATAAATAAGCTCCCTGATACTCCATCTGCAGTTGCCTTCAGAGTTGCAGACCTGCTTCCCTACCTTTACTGTTAGTTTTGGACATGCTGTTTGGTTTGATGGTTTTGTCACAACTTGTGTGAGGAGTCTGATAATGGAATAAGATCCCAGATGAAAAGATTTAGGGTTTGAACACGTATTGCTTTGATCAGAAGATCTTCTTAAGGGAAATTTGGGAATATGAGTCACATCAGACTAAGTGTGTTTGTCTGGCATTGCTATATCCCAGGTGGCAGAAGAACCATGCAGTGGCACCCACTGATATGAAATCCTGTATCATCTTCCCAGAGAGATGCCTGGCAAGCAAGCTCAGCAATGTGGCTAATTGACCAGCAAGCAGGCTTGGATTTTTGTGGGTGCCAAAACCATTTATAGCTGTAACCAATAAAGTTGAGTTGTGTTTTTTCCAACTTTTTTATCTTACTGTGATGATATTCTTTGGTTAGTGAAAGTGAAATAGTCACTAAACCTGCAAATGTGTTTCTGCAGTTTTGTAAGGAGGATTTTGTCTAAGGGACAGAGCTACATGCCACTCCAAGTTCCAGCCATCTGGTAATGCATGTGCAGAAGCATGGAAAGTGTTTCAGAAGAAAAACAAAAACAAATCTGGCCTCTGGAAAGGTTTCTCCTAATTTAGATCAGAAATTCAGCCTCACATATAGCCCATTGCTAGCATACCTTTCAAGACTGCCTCATGCTTGTTTTATTTCTCAGCTATTACAAGATAATGTATTAACAAAATACCTTTACTCATTTTGAAAGTGACAATGGCTGCATAACACAATCCCCTCTCATGTATAAATACTAAAGTATATATACAAGTACACAGGTAATTCTAAGCATATGAATTGCTGTGCAAAATAAGAAAGAGAAGATGAGAAAGGGGGAGGAGTTCCGACAGGACATGTACTGTAAATGGTGGCCCTCCAGATGAATCTGTGTGAAAGTTTTTCAGAAATGAAGCTTCAGAACTTCGACTTCATGAGTTACAAGTAATGTAGTCCCCATCTACACTGCCATATAATGCAATTTGAAACTCTATTATATAGTCAGCGTAGATTCATATAATACAGTTGAACTGCATTATATGAGTCTATACTAACCATATAATATAGTATGTTCTGCTTCTTCAGAGACTATAATGCAAAACAATGGATTCAAATTACAAGAAAAGAAATTCCACCTAAACATTTGAAATAACTTTTTTTTTTACTGCAACTACTATTTGACAATAGAATAGATTAACTTGGAGGATGGAAATCCCTTCATATTTGAAGGTCTTTAAACAGAGTTGGGATGGGCATCTTTCAGGGATGCTTCAGTTTTGTATTTGAATTCCAAGATCATGTGATTCTATTATTCTATAATCAATGGCTCATGGAACAGTGCCCCCAGTCTATGGTCCTCTACTTTGAGTAGCACTGCTTTAGATCCTGAAACATAATACATTGTGGTATTATTTTCTTACTATATATTACTTTAAACACCTTATGTTTTAGCTCCAGTATAATTATTTGGGTTTTTTTTCAAATTTATATAAATACTAGCTTGGGTACCCGGCGCTGCCCGGGTTATTTTAAAAGGTTATTGTTTGTTTTTGGATGTTAGGTAATACCATTTTGGTAATATATTATGCTGTGTCTTAGAAAAAAACTCCGTCTTTGTTTTTTTGTTTTTTTATGAATGCTCCCATTTTGTTTTTTATGAAAACTCCATCATGTTGCTTAGGTACCCGATGTTGCTCAGGTTAATTTGGTAAGGATAAATATTAGAAATAGTCATTGTTAGATTTTGGATTTTAAGAACAGACCTATTAGAAAATGCATAACTGTATAAATAGAGCCATTTATAAATTTGGACAACTGATGTGATGCAACCTCTATCAGTGCAAGACCAACTTACTTATCAACTTACCAAGTAATGCATTTTCTAATGGTATGTATAATATTTTTTTCCAATTTACAGCTGTAGAAATTAGTCAATGAGAGAGGTGAAAAAAACCATTTTATTGTTTAGACTTTCTTTTTATATTATTATTATAATAAATCTTTATTTATATCCTGCTTTGCTCCCTCACGGGACCCAAAACAGCGTACAACATATTTAAATACTGTAAACAACAATTCAAATACATCAATAGTAAGTATAAAACATCATAAAATAAACAGTTTAAATATAACAATAATATACATTCATATTCTTGTGGCATCATGGCAGCTCATATTGCAATTTGTTCCAGTCCGTTAGGTCAAAGCCAGTACCTTGAATTGGGCTTGGAAACGAATTGGCAGCCAGTGCAGGTGCTGTACCAGGAGGGGTAGACCACTCTCTGGTTCCAGCACCTGGAGGCAGCTCTTTGGGCTAATTGAAGTTTCCAGACACTTTTCAGGGGCAGCCCATTACAGTAAGCTAAGTGGGATGTAACCATGGCCAAGTCTGGCATTTCAAGGTACAGGCGCAGTTGTTGCTCAAGTAATATTGTAATTTATTGTTGTTATTGAAAACTTCAGGAACAATAAAAATACTTTTTGAAAAATGTCAACATGGCAGAATAATGAGGTCATTGTAAAACCTGTTTATAAACAACATTTTTTGTTTTTCCACCTGGAGTATAAACAAACAAATTATTTGGAGAACCTACCCTTGAACATGCAACATATAACTGTCCATGGGAAAAACATGGTGACTTCAAGTTAATACCACAGTATTTTATTGACTGTCCCTGTGCCTTGTTGATGGTTATCCCAAATGCCAGCCTTACTGGGAATTGCAATCTCTTAAAACGAAATGGAAGATCTGATGGAATAAGTGGAATGCGAGGAATGAATACATCATCACCCTTCCCCTTCCCAGTCAATATTGTAGCTTCTATGACATTGGGCAGCAGTGTTTTGATGCACAGTCTTGTGCCATTACATAACCTTGGTGGTTCGAGGTTTCGAAGCAGCATAATGGGGGATCCCACTTTAAGTGGCAAGCGATGAGATGGCATCCCAGGTGGATCAAGGGAGTTGAGGAACTCAGTCGGATAATTTACAGCTTCATCAGCATCCACTACAGTATCAATGGATTTATATTCTGTTACAGAGCCTGGAATCATGTCCTGAACATGCTTGTTGATTTCATTGACTGCATCATTCTTAGCAGCCAGGATGGCTCTTTCACACAACCAGGTGTGTTGTTTGAAATTTTCTGAAATGTTTGGATACACTTTATCTATAAGTTCACCAACTGATGTCACAATGGTACAGAAGTCATTTGGAAAGTGGATTTCGCCTAATGTCAAGTCAGTGGGGAAAGTACCTTCACCGATTTGAAGGAGCTTCTCTGCAAAAGGTTGAGCATTTGGATCTCCTTGAAGTTGGACCCTCAGATTTGTTTGTAATGTCATTTTTTTCACATGTCTCCAAAGAACGGAAGCCTTCAGGCAAGCGTTAAGCTCATCTGCTGGTGTTGACTTTGGAATGACGGGAAGAGTTTGACGAAAGTCTCCAGCTAAAACTACCAGAGCTCCTCCCATCAGCTCATTATTTCCTCTTAGATCTTGTAAAGTTCTATCAAGGGCTTCAAGTGATTTCTTATGTGCCATAGTACATTCATCCCACACAATAACTTTGCACATTTTTAACACTTGTGCCTGCCCAGATGTTTTGCTGATATTACAGGTTGGATGCTGTTCATTGGCAATGTTTAGTGGCAATTTTAATGCTGCGTGTGCTGTTCGTCCTCCATCCATCAGTGTCGATGCAATCCCAGAAGAAGCCAGTGCAAGTGCCACATCACTACTTGCACGAATTTCAGCAAGTAGTAAATTAATTACAAATGTTTTTCCTGTTCCTCCAGGTGCATCAAGGAAAAGTATACCACCTTTCTGCCTTCTGATGTTATCCATTATAGTGTCATATACTTTTCTTTGATCATGATTTAATAGAGGTTTTCTTGATTGTACAAATATTAACAGTTCTTCGGTATTATAATTCTTTTCTCTCATAAGTTTATTGTTGAAGACATCATAGTTATTTCATTCTGGAGGCTGTACACCTAACTGTTGTAATGTTCTGTTACTGATGGCCAGACATCTGTTTTCTAATAGTATAAGTGTCTCATTAAAAATTTCTCTAGAAAATTTTAAGTCAATGGTGGGATTGTCTCTTTGAAGTTTTGCAAGGATGTCTTCACTCATGCTTTCTTGGTGTTTTTCCCATAATCCACTAGGGTTTGATGGATAGCAAGTTGTCAGGATGATGGCAAAAAGGTTTCTTATTTGAGCTGGTGAAGATTGCAATGCTGCTTCTGATAAAGTAAAATTCCAGTGTTGATCATCCTCTAATAATCCAAGCTTTTGGCATGCCTCTCTAAAAGTATTACATACCTCTCCATTGACAGTTTTTAAAAATGTGAAAGACGTTGGTCCTCGAACAGTGTGAAGTAGTATTCTTAGAAAAAAGCGCTCAGCATTGTTAGGATGAACGGTGTACACACGACCCAAGGCTTCTGTGGCAACTGCATCCTGCCCTGAAACTGATACTCCTTGTTTTCTTTTGGAGAAGACCTTTCTGGATGCATTCCAAGTATAATATTTTGGAACTTCGGGATATAGCAGTGTCCTTGCAAACAAATCCTGTTCACACAGCTGAACGAATGCTGTCAAGGTTGTATTTGGTGGTTCAGCAGCAACTGTTTCAGCATTATCTGTTGTAAAGTAGACTCTTTGACCATTTTCTAAATGCACACTAAGGTGAACAACAGTTGGATGGCGTTCATGGATCGGAAAACTGAAAATCCGCCAAATTGCTTCGTTACTGCTGATATATCTTCCCAGCTGGTATTGAGATACTTCGTCGTTTCTGTTTTCATTAGTGAGTCCGAAAATAGCCATGTCACTTCCCTTGTTCACATATTTACAGATGTACTTAATGGATTTTATTGAGTTACAATATTCAACATTAATGTGTGCTTGAAACATTTTAGAAAGGAGTGGAGAATATGGAACAACCCATCTGTTGTCCACTTCTACTTCTGTGTTGCCTCTAATCTTGAGTTTTGCCGTGAAGCCACCATCTGATGGTGCTCGTCTTCTATAGAGAGGATAACCGTCATGTCCAGTTTGTGTGTCTGTAACCAATTGTCTGGGATATTTCTTACTGCACTTGCCTTCCTTCATACATGGTGCATTCATATTAAGGTTTCCACATGGTCCGTGAATCATATTTTTGGTCACCACTGTATAGAGGCTAGAGTCTTCAAATGGACTTGGGAATTCAGCAGATATAACATTGTCTATTTCAGTTGGGTGAACTTTTTCTTTCAGCCAAATAAGATTATGGGAATGTGGAAGTCCTCTTTTCTGCCATTCAATTGAGTAGAGCCAGCATCGTGTTTCTCCAAATACATGACAATTATTTATTACATGGATTAACTTCATTTGTTTTTGTTTGAACACTCTTGCTATTAAATCATGACGATCGCTGGGTGTCTGTCCGAATAAAAGTTCTTCTTCTATCTCTGGCCAAGATGGATTACACGTGAAAGTAATAAATAAGTCAGGGCGTCCATAAGATCTCACGTATGTCATGCCATCTTGAGCGTATTCATGCATGTGTCTTGGGCTTCTGTGAATGTAGCGGGTAGAATTACCATTTTCCCAACGTTATCAACACTTCTATCATTGGAGACAGCATCCCTTAGGTGGATGTATTCATCCACTCGAAGTTTCTTTTGATTTTGTCGTATGAAGAGAAGACGCTCAGTTTCAGTTTTTGCATACATATCAACAATGAATTGATGAAATAGCTGCCAACAATTTAAAGTATGATTAGAAACATGATTTCTAATCATTATGCTGTATGCATAGTAGTCCATTGCGGAGACTTTTTTATTAGTTGGTGCGCCTGAAGTTGGGTTGATTTGCATGATGTTGAAGTGATGCCCATCTTCACCTTGCCAAAATATCAGTGGGTACTGAAGTGCATCATACCATCGATGTGTTTCTGCTATGCGCTGTAGTGAATTACTGCGTCTTTGGATAATGATGTCACGTTGCTCAAATTCCTCACCTGACATAACAATTGCAACTTCGTTTGTTTGAGGAGCATTGAAGCGACGTTCATGTTCTCCCACTGGCTTTTTATCAGCTCTAATCACTACTCTGTATTCATCTGTTGGCATGCGTTCTAGGGCTGTTTTGAATGTGTTAATTATTTGGTTGTGTTGGTGTAACATGTGCTGTAAGTTCAACACAATATCATGTCTCACATCATTCAAGAGATGGAGGAGAAGCAATAGCAGCCGGCAAGTGAACTCCTCCAGGATATCAGAAGCTTCTTACAGGGATATAAGAATAAGGAGAAATTCAAGACTTTTGCAGCCTTTCTTCCTGCCCTGAAGTGGAAGATCTGGGACTTCTGTGATATCACTCCCTTTCTGGAGGGTACCATGAAGCAATTTAGAGAACATGTGACTCTGGATCCAGATACAGCTTCTCCTTGTCTCATCCTCTCTGAAGATCACAGGCATACGATGTTTGGAGAGAAATATCAAGATCTTCCTGACAATCCTGAGAGTTTCAATCATAATGCTTTAGTGCTGGGCCAGGAGGGATTCGCGGAAGGCAGGCACTTTTGGGATGTCCTTGTGGGGAGTGAGGAAGGATGGTTTGTGGGAATTGCCAGAAAGTCGGTGCAGAGAAAGGACCCACACTTTGGCCCTGAGGCTGGGACTTGGGAAGTGGGAAAGTGGGTGGGTGCATACAGGTTCTCCTCCGACAACGATGTGTGCCCATCTCTGAGCCCAAGAGGGTCTGAGTGTCTCTGAACTATGAAGGGGGTCGGGTGGCCTTTTACGATGCAGACTCAGCAGCCCTGATCTTTGAATACCCTCCAGACTCTTTCTCAGGAGAGACCCTCCTCCCCTTGTTTTTTGTGAACAAAAAAGCCCAACTGGAGCTCTCTCCCTAAAGATGGACAACAACGTCCAAAGACTCACACCAGCCGAGACACAAAAGGAGCTTTATGTCCAGAGATCTGGAACTGTGTTAATTCTTTTTTTCTCCCTTTTTCGAAGCCTCTCTGTGATCCCTTTACATAGTTGTGAAAATTTGTGAGGCTAGAGTGTAAATGAAGAACCCATTGCTCATGGCAGTGCTCAGCTCATGGATCAGCCGGGGACTTCTTCCTCCCATTTGGAAAGCCCAGCTACAAGAAAAACAATGAAGAAGGAATAATTTATTTAATATTAACTTTACTTCTATACCGCTGTTCTCAGCCCGGGGGCGACTCACAGCGGTGTACAACATAGGAACAGCAAAATTCAAGACACAGTATCAAAACAATTCACAATCCAGCATTATAAAAAAAACATAATCATTACTACGAAAACCATTCAGCGTTGTCTCATCGTCCAAACCACAATCCAATATCATTTCCCGTTGTTCCATTCCTATAGTCATTACTAAACATTGCACTGCTTATTCAAATGCCTTCTTGAACAACCAAGTCTTTAATTTCCTGCGGAATATAATCAGGGAAGGAGCCAGTCTAATGTCCACGGGAAGGGTGTTCCACAGCCGAGGAGCCACCACCGAGAAGGCCCTATCTCTCGTCCCCACCAGCCGTGCTTGTGAAGCAGGTGGGATCGAGAGCAGGGCCTCCCTGGAAGATCTCAAAGTCCTGGTGGGCTCATAGGTTGAGGTGCGGTCGGATAGGTATCTTGGGCCAGAACCATTTAGGGCTTTATAGGCCAACGTCAGCACCTTGAATTGAGCCCGGTAGCAAATCGGCAGCCAGTGGAGCTGGTACAACAAGGGGGTTGTATGCTCCCTGCGTTCCGCTCCTGTTAGTATCATGGCTGCCGCGCGTTGGACCAATTGAAGCTTCCGGGCCGTCTTCAAGGGCAACCCCACGTAGAGAGCGTTGCAGTAGTCTAAGTGGGATGTAACCAGAGCGTGGACTACCGTGGCCAAGTCAGACTTCCCAAGGTACGGGCGCAGCTGGCGCACAAGCTTTAGCTGTGCAAAAGCTCCCCTGACCACCGCCGAAACCTGGGGCTCCAGGCTCAGCGATGAATCCAGGATCACACCCAAGCTGCGAACCTGCGTCTTCAGGGGGAGTGCGACCCCATCCAACACAGGCTGTAACCCTATGCCCTGTTCAGCCTTGCGACTGACCAGGAGTACCTCTGTCTTGTCTGGATTCAATTTCAATTTGTTCGCCCTCATCCAGACCGTTACAGCGGCCAGGCACCGGCTCAGGACCTCGACAGCCTCCTTAGTAGCAGGAGGCAAAAGGTCCGTAAGACCAAAAGTAAACCAGTTATATAATTGCAATAATGTATATTATATGTTTGCTTAGGACATTCAATGTATTGGCATCTAGTACAATATATATTACATAACAATTCTTGCAGCATATTGTACAGCTGTTTTGGAAGTTCTTTTGAGAATCAAATTTATCAATAACAACATAAAGTTTGTAAGTCTTTGAATAAATAACTCTTAAAAGGCAAAACAAAAGTAAAATATTACAAAGACGAAGTTGGTTGGTTGAACTTAGTTACACTGGAGAGAAGATGGTGCGGATGACATGGAAACTGAAACAGCATCTAAAATGGAACGGACCATAGCTCTGATTCAAGGCGTGACAACTGTAGTCACCACTTCCATACCTATAGTCGATGAAAATATAAATTACCAATCCCTTTTGGAATGTGCTTTGATATTAAACGGCATTATTTCTGCTTTACCCGACACTGAAAAATCGTTGTTGAGCGCCCTCCAGGACCTGTGTGAACAGTGGTGGACAAAGGGACTGAATGGGAAGGAACAATTTGGGAAAACCACTTTCGTCCACTTTTTGAAATGCAGCCTTGAGAAGAAAACAGTTGCGGGAGCAGATATAGTCCGCCTATGGCACTTTCATCGGGCCTTACTGTGTTTCGATTACGATTCAGAGGAGAGTAACGAAGTGAAGGATTTGTTACTTCGATGCTTTATGAGTGTTTGGCATATGAAAAAGAAGAGGGCAGAAGATTCCTGAGCTTTGTTTTCACGTGGAATGTAAACTTCATTAAGTTGATACACGGGACTGTGAAAAACCAATTGCAGTGTTCTCCTAGGTCTTTGGTGACGCATATTGCGGAAATTTATTTCCGAGCATGGAAGTAAGCTTTAGGGGAGATATTGCAGTCAAATGCTCTGCCACTGACCTATACCCCCAGCTTCAGGGGAGATATTGGGGGTGATTGAACACATCTGCATCCAGGATTCCATGCATCATGCAATTCATATTCCCAGGAATTCACCATTGCATCCCAAAGTACGAGAGTTCCTGGGCTATTTCCACAAACAAACCAAATCCCGCCAAGGAGTTGAAGAAGTCCTTTACCGGCTTTACCAGCCTATTCTTTGGAGATCGCTAAAGGCCAGGAACTCAGGAGTTAGATCAAATGCGGCATTGCTATTTGTTGATGCATTTCCTATTTTAGATCCTGGTTTCAACAGAGAAGATACTGATAATGAAATCCAAAGGCAATTTGATGAACTTTTTAGTCTCTTGGAGGATCCTCAGCCTCTGGTTCGCTCAACAGGGGTGCTTGGCGTTCGTAAAATAGCATTCCGATCCACCCAGATCCTATAAAATTAAAACTAAGGTGTGCTTCTCTCTTTGTCTGGGCGGACCGCCGGGGGGGGGGGGGGGGGGGGGGGGGGGGGGGGGGTCTTTCTTTAGAAGCTCAAAAATTCTCAGCAACTGAGGCCACTTCAGATTTGGAACATCAAAACAGAATATTTATTTCTCAGTCCTTGCAGACTTGGCACAGCTTGTCAAAGTTACAAATAAAACAGTCAATTGGTGAAGCCATAGAGATGATCTTTCTTTCTTTTTCCTTCAGTTACTGAGGTAACTCTTTCCCAAATGGTAGAAAATATCCTGGGATCCTTTCACCCTAACCCTGAGCTGCTATGGTTAGATTTTTCTATCTATAGCTCAAGGTTAGCTTTGGAGATGAAGTAATGCTCAATAATATTCAATAACTCGATATCTATTTATAACTCAATTGCTCACTTGCTATCTATCTATTTCAATTAGCTTATTTTATCTATATAACTCAATCATATCTTAATTGCCATTCTATCTATCTCAATTAGCTTCTTTATCTATATAACTCAATCATACTTACAATGATTTTTTCAGAGCTGCCTGCCTGACCAACAGCACATCTGAAGCTTTCTTTCTCTACACTGAAGGAGGCAGGGAAGATTCCAAAATGGAGACCTCAAGAACCCTAGGAAAAAGGGCGGTCCCTAAACCCGAAGAGATACTTTCCTAAACCAATAGCTGCAAATGGGCCTGCAAGGCCGGCTTTGCAGACTCTGATACTGTTGAACTTCCAGGGTGCTGCTGGGTCTGTAGCAAAAGAACACTATCCCATGCAACTAAAAGGTAATGCAAACTGTGCTCCTGGAAGACGGAACACTGATATTGCTTTACCAGCCAATTTAGGGGGATGAAGGTTTATTTCTCAGAGTGAGTTCACTAGGGAGTTAATACAGATATTAAAGTGGGAGCAAGAACACAACTTTTGCTTTACTCCTCCCCCCCCCCCATGAATTTCAGAGCAATAGCAAGCAGAAATGCTCTGGCCGATCCATTTGTACCCCCCCCCCCCATGTCCTTTCAAACACTATCGATTTCTGGAACAGGTTACATTCCGCACGGTAGAATAAGTGGCTCAGCCGGGCCCCTCTCCAGTCTGCAACTCCAAGGTTTTGGCCGTGACATTCCATACAGGAGAGAAACTGTGAATGTGCTTGCACGCTTGGTCGATTGAAAGAGCAAGGTGCAACATTCTCATGCAAAGCACTGCCATCACTGCCGTCCACATCATTACTAGTGCCACATTTCTTGAAGGCGCGTTGCACCATGTCCTCTGGAATCTCTTCCCATGCATCATGAACCCACGTTGCTATCTATTCTATGTTGGACTTCATCAGATTTCCAACTTGCGTCAGATGGGCTTGACTAGTTCACATCCATTGATGCTACATCTTTAGCACACGGTCTTTGAAAGGTTTATTTAAACATACATCTAGGGGCTGCAATACAGATGTAAGCCCACTTGGAATAATGGCCAAAGTAACTCGAGAAGACTTTGCCCATTTTTTTTATGTCATC